TACTATTATATTATTATTACTGATCGACAAGTCGTGCGACTGTTATCTAATCTATTTTAAGCTTTCCTTATATTCATTGCAATTATTTTGGGGTAGAATTTCTTAGTAACTCCCGATCCCAGAGCACAGGTAGCTCTGGTTTTGGGACTTAATCTTAATGACGATTTATGATGTCGTCTGAAAACCTCCTGTTTTTGGAGGCGAAAAGGGTTTTAAAGCAGTCTGTCGTGTCGTTTGACAAACAAAAGTGGGTTTTATTGTCTATTCAATTGTTTTAACGGATTGTTTGAGATTTTAATGAATGTTTTTAAATACCACTTTCCTATGGGACAGACAGTCTGCTTAACACTCAAAGCACTCGTACGTAAGGGACGGGTACCGACGGTTAATGGGTTTTACGGCTATTAACACAATATATTTTTAAATCTCATTTCTCTCTTAATAATGAATTGTTGGTTATTATGAATATTTAAAATTTATTGTCATTTTATCTTTAAATATATATTTAATTAAATCCCATAAAAATGATAACTATTTTTGTGTCCAGAAGGTACAGGCAATACATTATAAACACCGCAATCAATAGATTGTAAAAATTATTTTTTCTTTGAATCAATAAAAATTACTTTTAAAACCAATTAATTGCTTATAAAATAAACATTATTTTGTAAACACCAGTGCCCACCACTCCCTACCCACCCGACACTCAAATGAATTGAACGAAAAGCAGTGTTTAATAAAGAAATTTATTTTACGCTTAAAAATGAAATCTCAAAACAAAATCTATGATTTCTATAATAATTTATAAAAACAATAATTGAATCCAAAAATTAAATCTCAATTGAGTTGTGATTCACAAAATAAACTAATTTATAAATGCGTTCATTATTTGTACACTAAATAACAACTACTTGCGCTCTAGAGCGCCGGCGATGTCTATGATATTCAACGCTTGTAATAGGAGGGGCCGGTCGATCATTTGGCCCTCGAATACAAAGGCTCCCTTTCCCTCGCTCTGGGATTTCTTATACTCGTCCACTAGCCTCCGGGCCCACTCTACTCGCTCTGGTGGAGGGCTAAACGCCTCCTGAATGACGGGAACTTGTGTCGGATGTATGGCCTGTTTGCCGCTGAAGCCCATGTTGGCCCCCTCTAGTGACTGGGCTCTCAGGCCCTCAATATCTACCGGTGCCGGCGATATATAGTTAAGAATAGGTCTTAAGTATTTGGTTTTCATTTGCCATACCTTTGAAGTCGATGTACACGACATCAATGGCCTGTAAGTCAAACGCTTTGGCTGTTAGGACCACCTGTTGGCGGGCCAGTAGGGTCTCGGAAGCGCCGGCAGTTCTGGTCGCGCCTTATGAGGGGAGAGAAGGGGTTAATGAGTGACATATAAGTCGTGTCTTAAGGCATACCAATGGAGGCGCAGAAGTCGTCGGAACCGAAGACAATGCCCTCCAATGAGAACAAATGAAATTCAGACAATTCGATGGCGTGTTGTATGACATCCCGAAGATTGAGTAACCCTTTGGCGCTCTCAACGTATGTCAATAGATGTAAGTCTTTATTAGTCTTCCGTTTGCCCATCGCTTTGACCAGTTTTTCGGCGAACTGTGGGATCAGATAATCGACAATCAAATTATCCACTCATTAGTGAGTTCATCATATTGTGTACCGAATCCAAGTGCTCTCGAGTCTCCACTTTCGGCAAAAGTATAGTTTTTGGTAACTTTTCTCCGGAGAGCACGACTTGGAGGTCCTCTTCGGCCAAACCGCTGTCTATTGAGTTGATCCGAACGGCGCACTCACTTCGGCCAAAGGCAACCGTTTGGATCGCTTCCAGTATAGTTTGTCGCGCCTCAGCCTACAAGACATGTAAGTTTGTGTCAGTCATGAAAGTGGAGGAATGGGTCCAGTAATAAAGAGTCCAAAGAGACAGTAATAAGACAATGAAAGGCCACAGAATCTAAACATCAGTTCCAGTGATACCTTCTTATTGGCGGCCACTCCGTCTTCGCAATCGAGAACTACTGTATCGACTGAACCGCAAATTGTGGACAATTTGGCGATTTTTCGGTCATCACTTCCGGGACAGTAGAGGAGTGCCCGTCGCGGACGGATATACTGTCTCTGCAACGACTCATTGATGTCTTGTTGTGGTGTCGATGCCGGCTGCGAATCGATCGGCGGTTTGTTCTCCTCCTTCGACGACCTCACCATCGATTGAGATAATTGTCGCCCATTTGCGACACTTTTACCACAAAAACGGTTTAATAATGTCCGCGAAGTCATCCGCTGAAGACATTGTCGACCGATTGTCGGTAACATTATGTCGGTTGTTGTCGATGTCCTCTTAGTTATCAATGGATTGGATGTTAAGAACCGTTTTCAATGATGTCTGCCTCACGAAGAAGTGGTAAATGAAGTGATAATCAAATGATAAGTCATTTACTGTTTGTCACGGCTTTCAAACGCATTGTAAACATTGCATAATACATGCATACGATAAATGCGTGCCTTTTTATATAAAACAAATAATGCATATGAAATGCTTTAGTATTAGTACAAAAAGTACCTAAACTGTGGGCAATGCATTAAAAATACCGGATTTGTCAAATTTAAGTCTTATTTTAGTTAAATAAACTTCTGTTGAAATCTAATCCAGTTATTGATTTCATAACACGAGTAAATAATTCAATAAAACATTAACCCCTATAGCCCGGTGCTCACACAACAGCGCNATTGTGTACCGAATCCAAGTGCTCTCGAGTCTCCACTTTCGGCAAAAGTATAGTTTTTGGTAACTTTTCTCCGGAGAGCACGACTTGGAGGTCCTCTTCGGCCAAACCGCTGTCTATTGAGTTGATCCGAACGGCGCACTCACTTCGGCCAAAGGCAACCGTTTGGATCGCTTCCAGTATAGTTTGTCGCGCCTCAGCCTACAAGACATGTAAGTTAGTGTCAGTCATAAGTTAGTGTCAGTCATGGAAGTGGAGGAATGGGACCAAAAGAGTCAGTAATAAGACAATGAAAGGCCACAGAATCTAAACATCAGTTCCAGTGATACCTTCTTATTGGCGGCCACTCCGTCTTCGCAATCGAGAACCACTGTATCGACTGAACCGCAAATTGTGGACAATTTGGCGACTTTTCGGTCATCACTTCCGGGACAGTAGAGGAGTGCCCGTCGCGGACGGATATACTGTCTCTGCAACGACTCATTGATGTCTTGTTGTGGTGTCGATGACGGCTGCGAATCGACCGGCGGTTTGTTCTCCTCCTTCGACGATCTCACCATCGATTGAGATAATTGTCGCCCATTTGCGACACTTTTACCACAAAAACGGTTTAATAATGTCCGCGAAGTCATCCTCTGAAGACATTGTCGACCGATTGTCGGTAACATTATGTCGGTTGTTGTCGATGTCCTCTTAGTTATCAATGGATTGGATGTTAAGAACCGATTTCAATGATGTCTGCCTCACGAAGAAGTGGTAAATGAAGTGATAATCAAATGATAAGTCATTTACTGTTTGTCACGGCTTTCAAACGCATTGTAAACATTGCATAATACATGCATACGATAAATGCGTGCCTTTTTATATAAAACAAATAATGCATATGAAATGCTTAGTATTAGTACAAAAAGTACCTAAACTGTGGGCAATGCATTAAAAATACCGGATTTGTCAAATTTAAGTCTTATTTTAGTTAAATAAACTTCAGTTGAAATCTAATCCAGTTATTGATTTCATAACACGAGTAAATAATTCAATAAAACCTTAACCCCTATAGCCCGGTGCTTACATAACAGCGCCTACACTCAGGCCAAATATATTCATGAGATTAAGCAAACAATTTTAAAAACAAAACTTTTATTACAATTTCAAGTCTTAAAAAGTTTGAGAAATAATTAATAGTTAAATCCATATTATATTTAATTAAATAAAATAATTAAAGCGAATGAATCTTTCGGACAATTAATTCGTGTGCGGAAAGGGAGGAGTGGGGGGAAAGGGAGCAAAAATAGAAGTGGTTTCAGAAAATACAATATAACTAAACATACATTAGTTTTCCAGTAATTTATAATAAGTTTCACTAAAAAACACTTTTTATTTGTTCTCATTATTATTGTGGGACCGGAAACCCGGGGT